TTTCTGTATGGGTATCTGAACTAAAATAAAACCAAGATTGTTTGCTGATGTTCATTGCTATATTTTGTTTGAAAGGATCTCTCCCTGTAAATGAAATCAATAAATGCTTGTTTTTAGGATAAATTGCTTTTTTCTGGCCTGTTTGGGGGAAATTACTAAAAAAGTAATCAATGGTTGGACTCTGGACTGAACGACTAACTTATTTTCTTTGTCTCTTAAAAAAAAAAATCACTGACAAAGTGAATGTCCTCCTCTTTGTGGTGCACAATCAGGAAGATGGAGTGTTGTTTGTTTTCAAGACACAATTTCAGATCAGGGGAAAGACAAAGTGGACAGGTCTCAATAACAGAAAGCGACTCAGTTTGAGTCTCAGGTAAAATCAGAGACCCCACGAACCCTCCGAGTGCCTCTGGAGACTAGATGGTCACCTCGGGGAACTGCTTCCTTGTTGCTTCCTTCTCCTTCATCACCCCGTTTTCAGCGATGGCCATCACTGTCAGAGCTCAAGCTACTCTGCAATCTCTCTTAAATGCCACCTCCCTCCCCAGCCCCCAAATCCCATCCACATCATCCTTCAATCTTCATCCTCCTGCTCTGCCGGCCTATCGATTTTCTATTTTCCCCTTTCTCCCCCTCCTCTCTCCTGTCCTCCAGCTCTCCCCATCTTCTCAAACACTTCCTACAGTTCAGCCTGTCTCTCTCTGATTTTTCTATTCCACCTTTTCTCTCCTCTCCCTCTTTCACTTTCTTACTTGATCTAGTCAGAGTTTCTCCTCTTTGACAAGGTCGGAGCCCCAGCCGTGCTCTGCGCTGCTTAAGGTTCGTAAATGGAGATGTAATGTAATAGAGTGGTGGAGTAATAGAATCTATAAGGGCTGGGTCTGATCTCGTTAGAGAGGGCCGGGCTGGAAAGGCTCCATCGGGATCCAGAGGGTCTGGAAGGAGGATTTTGTTTAAGAATTTCACTTCGAGATGTATATTGAAACAATTTTAAGGATCACAGATTATTCACCTGTGATCTATAGCTATAGCTAGATTTTTTTTATCAGAACCAGCCTACACATACAAATCCAACAGATGCACCAAGTTCCTGCTTATTTGTGCAGTGCAGTTACCCACGTAGCCAACTGGCTTTTCCATATAGTCAAGAGCTTCACTTAATGATCACTTAAAAAAAAAAGAGGTAAATGTGATGTTAATTGTTTGCACTTTGTTGCTGATTTGGACTGGTTTGTGTATTTCTGGAATAGCTGATGGGATTTTCTAGACAGTAATAAGAATGATGAAAAACAAAAATTATACAGTAAGCAAGGTTGTCCAGATGACGAGAGGTTAGAGGAGAATAATTTGAGAAATGATGGCCACAGAGATGAACACTCTTTACAGGGAAGCACCCCAGCACATGAAGCAACTTTGAAATGGAAAATAACTCTTTGGTTCCCATGTGCATCTGCCAAAAACAACAATTTGAGTCTCTGGTGGCCCCACACTCACCAAAAAAGGACAGCTGAAGACTGGAAAAAGGTAAACGTGTCTGATGAATCAACATTTCTGCTGAGTCCGCAGGATCGTTTCCATGGACCGCCGTTGTGTCAACAGTCCAAACTGCTGCTGCCAGTGTAATGGTGCACTTTCGTGGGCTTACTGAGATCCTTAATGCCATCCAGTCTTGAGTTGAATGTACAATTGCTGGCCATGTGCAATCCTTTATACAGTTTACCATGATCCAATGAAATCTCCAGCATATTACTACACCATGTTGTAAAGCTAAAGGTGTCATAAAATGACCTTGAACACACCAGTTAGTTTAGAGGGCTTCTGAATATGACTGGGCTGAATATTGAAAACATCAATGTATTTGAATCCATAGGATCCAAAACTACTATGACCATTGCCTGTAATTGACTCAAAGATCAGACAAAACAGGCAGAACACAGAGTTAATGGTTTAAAAAAACTAAATTTGATTTCATTAATGAACCTCATGAAAACGTGGAATGGCTGCAGTGGTGTGATGAATGAATGGATGCAAGTATGTTGAAATATGTGCAGGAATAGAATTGGATACAAACAAAACCAATTCTAAGCCAAGCTCCCCTCAACCAGGGAAGAAATGCAAATGGAAAAGGTTAAATAACAATTGATTAGCCTGAAAGCGTGTTGCTATTTGGTACCTGACTCTCACATTCTGCCTAACAACTACACAAAACTAGGAAGAGGAAGTTTTCATAATAAATTGATATGAATGCCTTCTACATGCTTTAAACAGTAAATTAATGAAAAAAGTACTTTTTTTAATCTATCTACAGTGCAGTTTAGAAGTACTTGCCCACTAGTTTTTGCATATTTGTCACACTTAAATGTTTCAAGTATTCAAACATTTTGATTTGAATATTAGTTGACAATAACCCGTCATGTAGAGGTGGGCAGATCCATATCAATACCAACACTGGTTTCAGTATCAGATTGACACCAACACAATTGGATCAGTCTAATATGTATCCCACTAAACTGTGTTAAATGCATTTTATTGTCCTTTTTTTAAATTAAAAAAAAAAAAACACACATCAAACATGCACTATGATGCAACATGTCTGAACCTTTTTCTATCGACTGTCACGTCAATTCTTTACAGCCTCTAGCACATTTAAATAACAGAAGCTGTCCCAAAGTCTTTTAGGTTAAATGTATCGGTATCTGCAAGAACTGCACTCAAGTGATGGTGATGAGCTGCAGTGAGTCTTTCACATCACATGTGGAGTTTTGTCCAACTCTTCTTTGGAGAGCTATTTCCATTCAGCTTCACTGGAAGTTGTCCATCGTTAGAAGAAGAGAAGGCAGGTAACTGACAGAAGCTGAGCAGGTAAGCTTAAGCTGCCTGCATCAGGAAGAAGAGTGAGAAACAAAGTAAAAAGAGGCAAAGAAAGAGAGAAGGCAGGTCCACCCCTGGAGACAAGGGAAAACCTGATGTGTGTAATTAAAAAAAACAAAAAAAAACATAAACCTTTGGTCAAGTGAGGCAAAGATTAAGAGGATGTGTCTCCTCGTAGAAGCTTTGCTGGGGCAGGATTCTCTTAAACATTCATGGAGACAGACAAACATGCAGTTAAAATTATTTTTTATAGCTATCTGCTAAAACAAGCCACTGTTTGTTCTCACGGCTTGTTCACTTTTGACTGCATCCATGCAAGCCAACACAGCCAGCAAAGATTGCGTGGCTCTTTATTATGAAACAGCTTAACACAGGTGAATCCCCATAACAGCAGAAGAACTTTAGCGCTGATCTCTTTTGTGTTTGTCTATAAAAGATGTTTATCATTATATCTGGATTTTGTTCCATAAGAGCTGCACTCAGTTGCTTCTCCTGTTGTGCTTCATGTTGTTTATAAAACCTGTGATCAGACTGGCCCTGTAAAAATGGCAAGGTTAACATAAATATGAGAGATATTGATCATGTGCTATTCATGTTTCAGATTTTCATAGGTGCTGCATACCAACATTTAGTACTCAGCAAGCTGCTAGTTTAAAGGACAGGCTAAATATTTTTCACAGTTTCATTATTGTCTACACTACAGCATAGTTGTCTGTCAGTTTAAGGTTACGTGTAACAAATAGAAACCCATCACAATCACTACATAAATACAAAAAACACTGAAGAAGAATGATTATTTTAAAAATGTATGTCATCAAAAGAAATTCTTGTGCCTGACAAGAATTCCTTGGGGGGAAAAAAGTTCTCAAGGCTGTTTTTCATCAAAGCAACTTGTTTAAAATGGGGGGAAAATAAAGCCACAAGAAAATTCTACATCATTCTGTCCGTACAAAATAAAGCATTCCCTTATAAATTGTTCCACTTCTCCCCTCCCCAGTCCAGTAGTCTTGTTAAGCCTCTGTCCTATCCCAGGATGGATCGCTTCTGGTTCCTTTGTCCCATCAGTGGTGACCTTCAGCGGGGGCTCTGATGCAGTGGGATATCACCCAGCTTGGCAGCACCAGACGGGCCACCGCTAAGGCAAGGACGCAACCGCTGCGGATCTATCACGTAAACGAACGGCCACTTCGTCGCAGAGCGATGCAAGAATACATCAAACTCAAGCACAACAGCAGGTCACTGCTGCAGGTGTTCTTCCCACAGACCCTCTGCTCATACAGAACAATGGTTTGGCAAGCTACAGTCTCTATGATTTTTGTTTTTCTCTTTTTGTGAGCTTTCCGAAGATTTCGTTCAGCTGAGAGAATTAAGTAGAGGTGATGTGACTATGAAACAATAAACAAAAGAAAGCGAGAGCATTGTGGGCACATGCTGTCATCCTCAACTCTGACAAACACCTTGAACAACCAGCATGTATCTCAAATGCTGAAGGAAATGTGCAATACAAGCCTTTCCAAATGATCAAAACCTAAAACAGAATTGTTCTACTTGTTCTACTTTTTACATTTCAAACATGTGAAACACTGAGCATGATGGGATTTGCATGACTGAGGGTGTAGAAGGTCTGGAAACCCATAATGTAGTAGAACTATCAGCTTGAATCCACTTTATTATGTAACAGTAGAGTTAAAGCTGTAATGATTGTGTTTTTGACCACTTGGGGGCAGTCACACAACCTATACTGACCATGACAAATCATGTTTACCATTATCACTCATTATCACAAAGGAATTTATTTTAAGGAATTTTTTTTCAGCACATGTTTTTCTCATGAAGAAGCATCTTAAATAAACATCTCAGAAAAATAAGAATACTGTGAAAACATTATCACTGTTTACCCATTATTTCAGGAAGTGAAAAGTTAATATTTTCAAGACTCATTAAGTTTTAAGCATTTTTTTAAATTAAAATTTTGATAATTATGGGCTCAATTTATTAGAATATTTCATTTCAACTTTGAGTAAATTAGTATTTAAACTGTATAAATACCATGTATCTCTTGGCCACCTTACATACAGTACATGAGGAAGACTGCTGACTTCACAGTTGCCCAGATGACAATCACTGACACCCACCACAACAAGGGTAAACGCAGAAGGTCGTTGCTGAAAAGGCTGGCTGTTCACAGATTAATGCGTCAAACCGTATTAATGGTCAAGAGAAGTCGATTCAAGAACTTGGGAGAACTTCACAAGAGCCATCACTTGCAAAAGTCTTCAGGAAAGTGGATACAGCTGTCACATTCCTGAGAGCAAACCTGAACCAGAGACAACATCAGAAGCCTCTTACTTGGACTGAGAACAAAAAGAGCTGGACTGTTGCTCTCAGGTCCAAAGTCCTCTTTTCAGATGAAATCACATTTTGCATTTTATTTGGAAATGAAGGTTTCTTAGGTCTGAAAGAGGAGAGAAGAGGTAGAGAAGCAAATGTCTCTGAAGTTCAGCATGATGTTGCTGCAGACTGTGATGATTTGGGGCGTCACATTGGACCGTTGTGTTTTATCAAGATGTAGAAAATCTCTGCAGTATGAGCAAGTGGACGATGAGAAGCACATCATCTTAAAACAAAAACAAAAAGAGCTTGAAAATCTTAACTTTACATGCAGTGAGTATAGAATATATGAAGGTTTACCTTTTTACATTAAATTCTCGGATGTGCACTTGTACAGTTACAGAACTCTATAATAAAATAGACCGCAGTGGGTATGGCTTGTATGGAGCACCTACCTGCACTCGTCTTGAAGAGAACAAAACAAAAAGAGTAAATGTCCCCTCTTATCCAACAGTGAAAACACATCAGCACCTTCTTAAGAGATTATTTTTGCACCTTTACAACTTATTCTGACGTTTTAAGTCCTCTTAATTTTGTAATTTTATTAATCTAAACATCTGTTAGCCTGTGTGGTTAAGGAAAGATAATATAAACCTCGAGTGCACACACATTCAGCTAAAAACAGGACGGGATCCCTGATATTTCTGCAAACACAGCCCTTGTGGTCCCTCAGTTAGCCTCTCGGCCTCTCAGCTGGCTGATAAACTTCCCGTGACGCCTCGTATGATTAATGACGGTTAACCGAACTGAATTAAGGTTAAGAAAGACGTGGCTGCGGTAGGAGGGGCGGTCAGAGGGGAGGGAGGGGGCAGAGCTGGGTTGAAGGTAGCAAGTGCGGTAAATAACTTCTTTAGAGGAAATATACGACGGCCCCTCCTTTGCGCCCTCGCCGCCATGCCAAGTAATTACTCGCCCCGGCCTCCTGTAATAATTCCTATTACAAGCAGAACGGAAGAGTCGGTAACTCAGCACGCAGGACAAGGTGAAGGCAAGGCCACGGAGCAGCGGATCAATATTTCATTTACTCACCCCGCTTCACCATCGCGGCCCTGGATCAAATTCACGAACACGGGCTGACGTAGGGAGAGAACAGGCGAAGGAGGGAAGGAAGAAGAAAAGAAAAGAAACAAGGTCCACTGAGAACAACGACACAAGGCCTCTAATTTCCTCTGGGTTTTGGGGCGGTGGGGGGAAGCAAGCACGGGCTCTGATGAGAATGCTTGCGGAGGTCAGGTGTGCGCATGTGAGCGTGAGTGCACAAATAGTATAGAGATGGTCCCACAAGCGTGCCAATCAAACACAATGATCGGAGAAAAGAAAAGGAGGAAACAGTGTTGTCCTTGTGCTTGAATTTCTAAGGCAATTCCTTCTTTTTTCTTTTTGTCCTCTCATATGAAACAGGTTGTATTTCCAACTATTTCCAAACATCTAACCTTATAATATTGAAAATATGTTTTTTTCTAAAGCAATCAAAATGCTGTAGATGTTCATCTTTTCTTCCCAACTCCTTATCTAGGTAGATATCCAAGACATCCACTCCAAGTGTTTTCATCATGCCGCTTGCTCCAGACTTCAGTTTAGACTCACTGAAGCAGAGTGTGTGTTTGATACTCCTGGATCAGCCGTTTGCTCTGCGCTGATTGTACCGAATCAAGGGTCATTGCAGTGGCAAGCAGTGCCTCAGTCAGATTAACCTGCTTTTAAGGTGTGCGTTCCACACCTGAAGCCTTCCTGAAAAAAAATAAATCAAAGCCAACTCTTTTTTTCTTTGCATTTACTGGAATAATCAATATTTTTGTATTAACCCTTTTCACCTTACACATATCTGTAGCAGGACAAGCCACATCTATTTAGACCGTTTAGACATCTGCCAAGTGTGGCATATTTAGTGAAGATATCTGATTGGAAGTGGGAGTGTCCTGCTTTATTTCTCTTTCTGCATTAAATCTGGGGTTGTGATTGACGGCTGGTTTATTCGTAACTAAATTATGTGAATAATGTTTTTACTCACTCTCCAATTAGGAGTTTCCATGAGATTTTTAGTGTTTCAAATTCCCTTTCAACCCCAAGCTTTCTTGTATTTAAAAACCTCCTAATTGATGCCATATGAAAGTTGTTTGCAGTTTTGAATCCACATACTTTTATCTATGTTACTATTTTTTACCTAAAAACCTCAAAGTGCTTTATTATCTTTTGGGTTGCTAGCAAGCACCAATAAAATGAGTGGTTCAGATTGTAAGTGACTAAGTTGGTCATTTTTTCACCTAATGATCAAGAGGGATATACTACAAATGAAGTTCAACAAGGAAATTTCAACACAGTCCGAGAACACGAGCATCCCAATGGTGGTCATCAAAATCATCTTTCTCTGGTAAGTCGGGTTTTCTGCTTCAGGCTCTGTGTGAGCTCACATGAAAAAAGGAGGTGGTGCAGCCCTAACTATGTGTTTTAACAAAAAAGGAAAATTTTAAAGTTTGAAAGTAGATACAGTCTGTCTTCCAACTCCAAACTGGGAACTGGTCCCATAAAAGAGGCGTCTGACAACTGAAGGATCTGCCTCCCATTCAAAATCAATTCCAATAATTTTCATTTTATTGATTGAGTCTGTGTTCTTGGTCCTAAATAGCCCAATCAGTTTCCTAATCTGTGTTCTACAATATAATCGATTATTAGCAACATATTAGAATCAAGTCTGAAATCATTTGTGCTTTTTTTGCATCAGCAACTTAATGCATGCAATGCATTACCACATTTGTACTATTGTGACTTTACAGCTGGACTTCATCATACGGTAGTGCGTTTCTTGCTCCCAACCAGGTACTGTGTTCAGCATAATTTCTTTATGCATGCTCAATTATCCAGGTAAGTAAGTCCCAAGAGGTTGATTCTGTTCATCTGGACGTAGAAGTCACTTGGATGAGTGACGAAACGTTTCTATCACTGAAAACGCTACATTGAGATGAACGGAATCAACCTTTTGGGAGCATAAGTTACAGCGTGGTGATTTAGTCAGGTAAAAAGAGAGCCACTTTTGTGAAACAGAAAACTCTCAGTGTCGGCTCAGAAAAGCTCCCAAACCCATTAATCTTCAGATTATTTTCTCAGGAGCTAGCGGAGAACAAAGCAAACCCTAAAAGGAGAGTGAACACTGGACTTATCTGGCTCGCCTAAACTGCAAACACTCTGAGAGGCTGGTATACAGTCAGTAGTAAAATTTTAAATTCAAACTACTTCATAATTATTATATTAAGTGTCAAAAAGACTGACTCTAGTTGGTGAGCTGAACAGTATTACTGTTGTGGGTAAGAGTCCAACATATGATATCAGGAATTTGTGAAATGTGGGTGTTCAGGTCTAAATGCTAATCAGAGGGTTTGAAAAAAGAAAAACAAGAAGTAAAAAGACTCCAAAGCCAGAAACCATTACATAACCACACCAAATTTATCATCTATTTGCAAGCAAAACACCACTGGATGTTCACCAAAGGAAATTTTAATTAAAGTCTTGCCCAAATATTTATCTCTGAGATTTCCAGCTTCCTATCTGTGTGTGCAGACGCAAGAAGAATTTAATGAGAAAATACTGTGTAATGCGTTTTGCAGTTTGGGTTGAACTAATGCTTTTAGTCCCCCGAAAAATAAGGACACAAAAACATTGTTGATTCTGGTGTTTGTTTCTGCATGTGGGTGTGACAGAAAACAAATCAGAACTGCACTTTGTGCCCTGCAGTGTGACCACCGTGGCGTAAAAATATTCCAGGCCGACTCGCTCCTTCTACCAAATCAAAGCAACTCGTCGTCTGCTGCAAAGCTGACGGGGGTTTGGATCAATAAGTGAGAACACTCCTGACTTCCCTGGTCTTCTCTCGCAATCGTTTCAACCCAGTCCGAACTGCAAAGGTCAGATTACCTGAAGAGAGGACAGGAGAAGAGAGGGCCAGCTCATGCATTAAAGACTGAAGGGAGTTATGGGCTTTCGGGAGAAGGAGGTAGAGGAGTGAGTTTAATAAATAACAAATTCCCCTCAGCTCCACAGAGCCTTGCTTTGTGTTTAATTGCACTATATTGATTTTTCTCTCTCTTTTTCTTTTCGTTCCTGGGTCGGGCATTGCTCTCATTTTGGAACAATCAGGTGGCCAAGGTGGTCCTCAGAGTCGAATGTCATTTGTTCTCCACCTCCTCCTTTTTCACTCTTCTGTTCTCCTCCTCCTTTTCCTCCTCTGTCTACCTCTCAGCATCCTCGTGATTTCTTTGTGCCTCACTTTCAAGGTAATCTCAGAGCACTTTCTGGCTTTTTTCTGAGGTATTTTGATTGCATCAACAGGCATAAGAGGTCTTTTCACCCACAGGCATTTTGTATTCCTCATACTTGTGAAAATGGACGGAAAAGCGAACAAATAAGGGGCTGACTACAGGAGCTAAAAATCTAAGAGCACATGTGAGTTGTGCTCTATGAAAAGGGAACATCCTGCTGTTCTTTACAAAAAGCAAGCCCCATTAAAATAGGAACTCGAACCTTTATCGCATGTGAGTCACTCAAAATTCGGCCACAAAGAGAGCAGTCTTTAATTACATCTTTTACAATACTTGAGGTCAGGTTTTTCACGTATTTATTATCATAATTTATTTGTCCTTTCTTTTCTTCAGCATCATTGCTCATGTTAATCAAAGTGTCAGAAAGTTTGAAAAATACTTAGGAGGTGACACATTGCTTAGTGGGAGCACCATACACAAAATAACATGAAAATCCATCATCAAAAATAATAAAACTCAGTGGTTCTAACGGTGTGTCAGCAGCCCTAACCTTTAAATAAGAGTGTGTGGGAAATTATGTGTTTCCAGCTGACAGGGGGGTGCAAGTTAAATGCCATGAATAAAACTACAGTAGCCCAACCTCTGGTCTGATGAATCAGGTAGAAAATCACACGTGTCAACAGTGCCATCACACAGCCCAAAGCCTTGTCCGTGGACAGAGGTGTATATTTTCATCTAAAAGGAAAGCAATTTGCAGAGATCCTCCCCTTTAAAAGCTGACTTGACATTTCCTGCCATTATGAGCACAATGCGCTCTATTATGAAATGAATGGCAATTAAGCACATAAGAAAATGTCAGATGAATTAGACGAACCTGGTGACACGAGGTCACCGTCACCCACTTCGATCCTCCTCTACCCAGCAGCATCGCACCCCCTCATCTCCTCAGACAACCTGATCGGGGGAAGTTCTTTTAGGTGCACAATAAACTTTTATGGCTCGCTCCCAAGAGACAAAGACAGAGGCAACAGATCCAGCACTCAGTGTTCCTTTTAACCACCTCAGCATCGCAGTTTGAGTGCTTTGCTTACAAGTGGCTCTAATATGCATTTCCTTTTTTTTCTGTCATATATATATATATATATATATATATATATGCACTGATCAAGTATGATATTATGAGCACTGACAGCGGAGGTGAATAACACATTATCTCTTCATCATGGCACATGTTAGTGGGTGGGATATGTTAAGGAGCAAGTGAACATTTTGTCATCAAAGTTGATTCATTAGCAGGATGAAAAGTGTAGGGATTTGAGAGAGTCTGACAAGGACTAAATTGTGATTGGGTCAAAGCATCTCCAAAACTAACAGACTTTTGGGGTGTGCCCGGTCCACAGTGGTCAGTATCTAACAAAAGTGGTACAAGGAAGGAACAGTGCGGACCAGTGACAGGGTCATGATGCCTGTGAGGAGTAAGGACTGGCCGATGTTATCCAATCAAACAGATGAGCTACTGTGGCTAGACTGCTCAAACAGTAAATGCTGGTTCTGATAGAAAGGTGTCAGAATGCACATATGTCATAGTTTGTTACGTATGGGGCTGCTGCATAACCACAGACCAGTCTGGGTGCCCATAATGACCCCTGTTCACAGCACAAAAAGCCAAACAAAGGGCACATATCAGAACTGGACCATGGAACAATTGAAAGGGGTGGCGTAGTCTGATTATGTTTTCTTTAACATCACGTGGATGGAGGCAGTGTGACGCTTTGAGCAACCGAGCAACTGGGAAACCTTGGGTCCTGTCATGCACGTTGATGCACGGAACCAAAGCATTGTTGGAGACCATGTATACCCTTTCATGGAAAGGCTATTCCCTGATGGCTGTGGCCTTTTTCATCAGTTTATGTGCTGTGCCTCTAAACAAAAATGGTTTAGGAATGGAACAACGAGTTTGAGGTGTTGACTTGGCCTCCAAATTTCCCTGATCTCAATCGAATCTGTGGGAGATTTTGGAGAAACAAGTCAGATCCATGGAGGCCCCACCCCACAACTTACAGGACTTAAA